GGTATATACGTATATCTTGAAAAGGGACATTTCGTTGTTTTTTTTTTGAACTTTTGTAGGTTCTCTTGGACATTTCGTAGGTTTTTCTACAAGATACTGACTTAGCACAAGCTGTTGTACACTTGTTGTTTGCCCGTTCTGTAGCTGTACGTGCTGCTTGAACGACAGCGAACAGCGACCATAGCAAGCGAACGTGGAATAAAATATTCGCACCACAAAAACTACCTAGGCTGCAAGGCGACATTTTGTATCGTTTTTCTTTTATTTAGATTTTCTACATACTAGCCGTGCCAGTCAGACGTAGCACCGCAGCAGTAATACCAGAACACTTACCGAGAGCGACACGCCGCCGGGAGCAGAAGCAGACGCATATCGAAACCATTTCGTCATCGTTTTAGTGCTAATGTTCGGAGAAATCTAGGACGTGCGAAATATGTCTAATAGACGCATAGAATTAGCGAGGTTGGGAGTGTATCAATATACTGACACAAAAAAAATGAGATCTACAATCCCCCACCCCTCATCTCCAAATTGTTTAACCCTAAGATGTTGTTCAAAAATGATCAGGATCCTCTGAAACGCCAAAGCAAATTTCATTTTTCTGGATTTTTACTTTTTCTCCGTTGCAAGTAGACCGATTTTCAAAGACGCCCTTAGAAGATTGCAGTGGCTGCTGCACCTAGAAAGAATGCCGCAAGAAAGAACAGCCAAGCATATATAGCATGGAAAGTTCCGGATACCAAGAAGGAAAGAGGAAGATCAAGAAGAAGATGGAAGGATGCGGTTATAGAAGATTTGGGGAGCAGGAATGTCAGAGACTGGGACAAATGGGCATTGGACAAGTAGTGGTGAAATAAACTTATTAAACTTAGGGCCTAAAGGCTTGTTTTATAGCTGTATATACAGGGTGTTTCAGTTTATTGTTGCATAACTTTAAGATTCGATAGAACTTTTAAAATTAATGCATAAAGTCTATATAAACATGGGTCGAAAAATGCTTGGCTTCCGAAATACAGGGTGTTTAAATTTATTTTCTAAAATAGTTTTTTTTAAATATTTCGAACAATATTTGATGTATAACAGTGAAAATTGGTATACAAGGATTTTTTGGTACGAAAAAACGAACCATGGGCATAGGTTTACCGTAGCCGCTAGAGGGCGCTCTCTACTGTACCTGAATTAAAATGACCGAAAATATTTTCTTAGTGCAATTTTTTGCTTTTTGAATAAAAAACTGATTCTTCGCACTTTTCAAAATAAAAAAGCCCTCCTGTGAGTTTTCGTTATAGTTAGCCGTTTTTGAGATATTTCGATTTTTAAGGTTCGATGCATTTTTAATTATTTATGGGAAAATAATATTTTTTTTTACATTTTCGATTTGGGCATTACAAGTAATTAAGATGATCGTTTAGATTGTGTTTTTAAACACAGCAATAATTCCTAACTCCAAATAAACACAAAAAACAGAATATTAATTTGTTTAATTTTCCAATATTATTTTTAACAAATTACATTAATTAATTACAACTAAAATGCAATTGGATAGTTAGGACAAACATACAAAATCTATAGTAGTTGCTCGAAATGTAAACCCAATTGTTCAATACACAATTCACATCTACGAATGATCGAACGTGATATAGCACTATTCAAATAAGGCCTTATTTCATCACATGCATTCCTGATTCTTTCTATTAGCATATCTCTTGTGGTTACGGAAGTCTGGTACACTTTTTATTTTAGAAATCCCCACACAAAGAAATCTAATGGATTTAGGTCAGGGGATAGTGGAGGCCAGGCGACTGGTCCTCCACGGCCGATCCATCTTTCTGGATAATTTCCGTCCAGCCAGTTTCTAACTATTCTCGAATGAGCTGGACAACCATCAAGCTGAAAACCAGGTCAATCTTCTTATATCTAACATAACATCATCCCACATATTTGCATGTTCAGCCTTTCAAAATTCCAAGAAGGTCGCAGCATTTAACCTTGCAGGCAAAAGGTAGGGTCCAAATAGTCGATTACGGTAGATACCAATTCACACGTTCACACTAAATTCATGCTGAAAATTTCTTTCCCGAACTGCATGCGGATTTTCATGCGACCAAATATGTTGATTATGAAAATTTACCACTCCACGTCTAGTGAAGCATGACCTATCGGTCCATAAAACGTTACTTAAAAACTTCCTATTATTATCAGTTCTATCAAGAATCCACTGACAAACTGTGATTCTTCGTTCTCCGTCCCCTGGCTTTAGTCGTTGCACAGGTTGCAAATGGTAAGGACGTCTATGGTCATTTCTAAGAACACGGTGAACATGGCTTGCTGAAATTCCCAAGGCACCAGAAACTCTCCTAACACTTGTGGTCGGATCTCTATCAAACTCACGCAGATTCATGCGGGTAAATCTGCGCTGACGAACATTTATGTTTTGAACCCTTTGGAGATTTCCAAAACTATTTTCAATTATTTGGCGATGCACTCTTACAAATACCCAGCGAGTTGGATGTCGTCTGTTTGGAAATCTTCGTGCGTATTCTCTGGCTGCTTCTGCTGCGTTTCCATTTACAAAGCCATACACAAAATGAATATCCGCTAACTCTTGATTGGAGAATAAAAATGGCATTTTTCTAAGACTTACAAAAAAAAAAAACAGGTAAAAGAAACTAAATTTCGTGCATTCACAATTGCAAAAAAACGTTTCAGGTTTCAACAGACAACAAAACTAACTGTCAACTAATTGACGTTTAACCTTATTCTGCTTTCAATTTCAAAAATATTTGCAGGCACAGCCTACTTCTAAAAATTATCGAGATACTGACTTTAACGTTATTTTATCATAAATAATTAAAAATGCATCGAACCTTAAAAATCGAAATATCTCAAAAACGGCTAACTGTAATGAAAATTCACAAGAGAGCTTTTTTATGTTGAAAAGTGCGGAGAATCAGTTTTTTTTATTCGAAAAGCAAAAAATTGCACTAAGAAAAAATTTTCAGTCAGTTGAATACACTACAGGTACAGTAGAGAGCGCCCTCTAGCGGCTACAGTAGAACTATGCCCATGGTTCGTTTTGTCGTACCAAAAAACCCTTGTATACCACTTATCACCATTATACATCAAATATTGTTCGAAATATTTAAAAAAAAACTATTTTAGAAAGTAAATTTAAACACCCTGTATTTCGGAAGCCACGCATTTTTCGACCCATGTTTATATAGACTTTATGCATTAAATTTAAAAGTTATATCGCATCTTAAAGTTATGCAACAATAAACTGAAACACCCTGTATACGTCCTTAGTAAGTACCTTGTATAAAAAAGACAGACTGACCGACATGCCGACGGAAATGAGTGACATGTTGTTAGGTTATGTACATGTCATATACCATCCTCTACCTCCCACCTCCAAAATTTTTACCCTGACATGTCTTTCAAAAATGATCAGGATTCTCTAACACGTCAATAAGCGAGGTTTCAGCAAATTTGATTTTTCTGATTTGTGAACCTTTTTATCCGCTGCAACTGGACCAATTTTTGAAAACTACGTCCCCAGCAGTACCTTTGGGTAAAACAAGACAGGCAGATCGACGGAAATGAGTGACATGGTTTTTGGTTATGTACATGTCATATTACATCCAAAAAACAATATCTAGTTTTCGAATTTTTTCGTGATTACAAACTTCCTTGATAGTACGCGTGGGAAGTGAAATAGTTTAGACAACGTGGAAATGAGTAAAGGCGAAAAAGCAGTACTCTTCACGTTAACTCGAACAGAACCATAGCCAATTCAGAAGTTCTGCAAACTTTGGACAATCTGACGATTCTTTCGTACGTCTTGGGAACGTACATCTTGAATCAAAGACCCCTAATGTATTATTGTTAGTGGTAATTAACATTGTGGTTGATAGTCCGAAGTTTCCATGCCAACTGAGACGAACTGCCAGCTTGTAAAATGACCTACATGTTTCAGTCCTTAAAAGCTACTGTAGCTCAATTATTATCGAAAATCAATTTTTTCCAATGCTAGGATAATAAAAGCACAGCAACGAGTCAGTACGCATTGAATTTCCTTTCCGATCGAAAGTATTTGAAACTTTTCATTTTATATGATTTTCTGCAGATCCAAGATCTTCTGTGGTTGTCTCTCATATCGTTCGGAAAATAAAACTGTGCAAACATTCTGCCCATTCTGGTGGTTTTTAAAAAAGTGTCACCACATCCACTAGGAAAAAATTTTAATTGATAAATACTGACGCGAACTCTAAAATACTATTTTCAATTTTCACCTATTATACAGGGTGTACCAAATTCTAGCTTCACCATTGGGATCTCCGAAACTGTAAGCGATACGAAGTCGCTTAAATAAGTTGCGTATATAGGTAATCAACAAAATGCTGCTTAGACAGTTCCAAAATTCAAAGTACTTCCGGAGAGAGACCGAAAAAGCCGAATTTTCCCAATATTGTTTTAATTTTTTCCTGACCTTATTTGTAATGGGATTTCAAAATAAATTAGAAATTACACATTAGCATCGACACTTTTTCTCCTCTACGATAGTATAGTTAAAACTTCAATATGACGTTTCGTCTCTTGTCCCCCATCATTAGCTTTACTTTTTTTTATGGACGACAAATTGGATTTTTATACAGGCGAATAAAGTTTTTAGTTCTGATATCAAAAATATATATGTAATACATTGTCATTGCCAAACCTCAGTTATTCCAGTAAAGCAGAAGTTCCTAGGTAGGTCTTGAAATTATCAGATTTCATTTGTTTCGTAGAACCTCGAAGAGGTGCAACCATAACGACGTTAGCCCTCAAATAAATCTGGTCTTAACTATTACTAGAAGATTATAAGCAAGAATCTTCAAAAATCGAATAACATTTCAATATAATTTCACTGATCTATACAGCCGAGGGTATTCCTTACTTTTGTTTACCGCATAGAGATATAAGTGTTTCGAGATGCCGGTAAAGTCCCTTACTGATTACTATAAAAATACGAACAATGTCGTATTTTCTTACTGTCACTATAACTTTCTAGAGTATCACCGCCAATAATCCTTCAAGATGATGAAGCTACTCGTATTGGTTTTGCTCATTGTAGCACTTCTTGTATCCATGGTTGCAGCTGGTAAGACTATATTTTCTATTGCTTTGAATATACAGGGAAACAGATTTGTTTGACGGCTTGAGTTGAATTTGTACGAGAGAGAAACGTGTACCTTCATATGCTAGAAAGAGATAGACGCTGGCTGAAGAGCGAAGGTCATCATGACGCTGCCTAGCAATGGTGACGCAGGAGGTCGTGCAATCTTCCGCGTCGCCCATGTGTTACACCAAAAATTATTAGCACCGGCTTCTACAATAGGTTAAGGTTACCGTCAAACCCAAGAAGGTCTGTTCGAATATTTCATTTAATATTTTGTTTTCATTTTGATTGTTTATTTCAATTTTGATGCGACCTAGTGTTTTAATTTAATTTAGAATTTTCTTTGATTTCCACCGATGGTAATAAAATCAACTCATCTTGAGTTATTCCCAATACGCAATACAAATTATCACTGCTTGCGTGTACGCAGGTGATAACTATTTCGAAGCAGGACGACACACCCCAAAGAGCGCTGACCAAAATCCCTCATCTGTGATCATGGAGGTGGAAAGCTTGCCTTCTAATGTAAATGGAGTGCCTTTAGGACCGATCCTAAGCAGATTCGACACAATTCCCAATTCAAACAAGTCTACGTTCAAAATAAAACCATCATTTGGGCGTGGAGAATAAACTAACGCTTATTTTCAACATACATCTTAATTCAAGGAATTTTTGTAACATACTGGCAACGCGACGCATTGTCACATCAGCGTTACTAGGCAACGTGGAGATGAGCTTAGCTATCCAGCCGGCTTCTATCCTTTTCTAACATATGTATTTATACACACTGGTTCCTCATACACATTGAACTTAAGCCGTCAGACAAATTTGGTTCTCAGTGTATAGTATGTGCACGTAATCTCACGTAGAACTGTAGCAATCGATTATTCAAATACTTGACGTAAGCCAGTTATGAAAATTTGAGTTTATAGTACGACGAATTGTTGGATTCTATGCAATGTTCTAGTTGTGTTCCATATAACTTAATTGATAGTTAAATATACAGGATATAATTAGCCCATTTTAGGTAGAAAAGTTTATATGAACATATGTTCTGAACGTTTTACCTTTTGAGCTACAGGGTGAATTTTAAGAGAACTTTAACATAACTTTAATACAATTCTAGATATTTTAATGAAATTTGATATGCACCTACTAAGCACCAGTAGGCATTTTTTTATATTTCCACCAGTGAAGATTTAAAACAAAAATGTTACGCCATTGCTTTTTAAAATAAAAACCGTTTTGGCTATTTTAATCAATTGACCTTACTTGAGTAAAAATTAAACAAAAACACATCATACTTATAAATTACCTCATGAGTTTTTGCGATTTTGAAATGCTTGGGAATTCAAAAAGAAGTTTTACAAATACTATTTAATCTAATTATCACAAGAATTGTTGAAAATGTTCTCCTTCTGCTAGAATACAATCTTCAATTCTCTTTCTCATGAATTTGGCGAACCCTTTTAAAAATCCCAGGAGCATTTTTTATGGTTTGGCAAGAAGGTAAAATCTTCCTTAGTCTCTACAGTTCGAACCCAAAACTTGATGTGCCCCCACACAAAATGGTCTAAACTATTTAAATCAGGGGACCTTGGGAGGCCAGGACTGAGTTCATCTACGTCTTATCCAGCGATTTGTAAACGCTTCACTTAGAAATTCCCTAGCATGAATGCTAAAATGTGCAGGAGCACCACATTTCCTCTCTTAATAAAAGAGGTACATGCTCGAGCAAAATTGGCAAATCGTTTTCAAGAAAGTGACGATAGGATAGTCCATTCAGTCCGTCCTGGAAGGAAGACTGGTCCTATGAGGAAATCTTTAGCAATCCGAGCCTACACATTCACGGAAAACTGCTTCTTATGATATTCCTTCGTAATTGAGAATGGGTTTTCTTGGGCCCATACGGAAATTTCGAATGAAATCCCGGGAAAAGCAGCTTCATCAATGAAGAGTATATTGATAACGAATAAACGATTTTCAAGTTTTTCTAGAAACCATCGCCAGTAGTACTCGAACCCTTTGAATATGATAGGGGTACAGTAAATTACCATAAAGTATATTCCGAATAAAACGGGAATCATTAAGCATTGCTGCAATTTTTTTAGTACTTGTTTCTGGATGTTCCTTAATTGTGTTTAAAACAGCTTCCTCTAATTCTGGTGTTCTCACCGTGCGATGTGCCCTCTTGAAGCTATTGTCACTGGTAAGACTCCCAGTTTCATGTGGTCTTCTCTGTATTCTAGAAAACATTCTGGCATCGGGAATCACACGATTTGGATATCGCTCTTGATATATCCGCCAAGCCATAAGCGCATTCCCGTCAGCAAGTCCGTAGGTAAAATGTATATCTAACTCGGAATTTGTAAATCTAGGCATAGTTTACTCATTTTCTCTTTATTATTGATTAAAGAAACCTTCACAATGTAAAAAACTATCACGTTTACGAATACTTGTCAAAATAAGACCGCAACGCAATCGATCAAATGTCATTATTTTAAAAACAAAATAGGACAACAGCCTACTAGTTCAAAATAGTTTCATTATATCACAAATACATGAAAATGGTTTTTATTTTTTTACTCGAAAACGGTGAAGCGGACGAAAAAAAGTCCAGAGGTCAAATATATTGCCAAATAGATGAGGATTACAAAACACATTATTTTTGAAAATGCAATGACGTATCATATTTTTTTTGAGTGATATCCGGTATACATTCCGTACGGAGTCACTGCTAGAAATATTAAAAAATTTTCAACATCAAAAAATGACTATTGGTGCATGTTAAATTACATGAAAATCAACAGTGTTAAAGTTATGACAGGAAAAGAAACATTTTGACACCCTGTAGCTCAAAAGCTCCAAGTGAGCTAAGGAATAATATCCTGTACTTTTAGCCATCAATTAATTGTATATTGTTGAGATATCTCAAATGTAGAGTAAAAAATGAAAAAAACAAGCTAATGAATTATAATAATGATTCCTCGTATTTTTGCGTTCGTCATATATTATATGATTTGCAACGAGGATTCTTATAGTAAGGGACCTAGTTCTTGTTCCGATTCTGGATAACAAATGGTGAGGGATGGTCAAAATAGGATAATGAAGATTAGATTTTAGAAAATCCATACAGCTCATTTTTTCACATGGTCTAATCATAGAAGAAAATCTCGCCGGTTTGCGAAATAATTGCAAAGTCTGGTTTTATTGATGCAAGTTGCTTGAGGGGGTATTCAAAACATGGACGCATAGACTGGGTACACCAATTTTTGTGGGAAACTCTTTATTCGACAACAAAGAATGAGAAAAAGTGCATTTGGGACTCAATTGAAAGTGTTGGCAGGGACGCAAAAAGTCTTCAAATAAGATTCTTAGGTATTTATGAGACCTACAGAATGAGACCACAAGTAAAAGGTTCCCACTAAAAGTAAAAAAGTTATGGCCGAAAATCGAGGCAAAATGCAGATTTTGGCACCACAACAAAGTTGGAGTCGATTGGTCAAGTAGTTTTTGAGAATTCCTAATTGTTTTTTCCAAAACACCTGTCTTTCGGCCATCACTACTAGTTTATTGAGCTAGATATAGGGTTTACCTTGCCGAATTTAATCACAAGCTATTCCGAAAGATAATTGTTACTTTTATGCGAAAAACTAAGTTTTCTTTCCTTTCTCCTAAACAAATTCAAAACATTTCGTATTTGCAAGTGTCTGAACAGATTCGCTCCGATATTCGCAAAACATAGGTTATTATACACATTATGAAACACAGCGGATGTGTCTGTCATTTTTTGTTGTGAAGAACAAAATTAATGGGTGATTTTTTTGCTAGTATCTTTTTGGCAACACTGTTTTTGTGAATCGTGTCTTGTGTCATTGTCAAACTTGTTTAGTTTGGTCTATAATTTAACCATGAATCGACTTACGAACGAACAACGCGTGCAAATTTTTGAATTTTACTATCAAAATTCATGCTCGGTTAAGAGAGTGCATCGAGCACTGCTTCCAATTTATGGGCAATTTGGTCGGCCTACTGAGGGAGCTATTCGGAAGCTTGTGACTAAATTTCGAACACAGTTTACATTATTGGACATTAAACCACCAACACGCAGACGTACAGTGAGGACTGAAGAAAATATTGCGGCTGTATCCGCCAGTGTTAGTGATGACCGTGAAATGTCGATTCGCCGCCGTACGCAGCAGTTGGGCCTCTGTTACTCCACTACGTGGAAAATTTTGCGACAGGACTTGGGTGTAAAACCTTATAAGATACAGCTGGTGCAAGAATTGAAGCCACACGACCTCCCACAACGTTTCCAATTTGGTGAATGGGTGCTGGCAAAGTTGGAGGAAGATCCACATTTTTATCGAAAAATTGTGTTCAGCGACGAAGCTCATTTCTGGTTGAATGGGTACGTTAACAAACAAAATTGCCGCAACTGGAGTAAAGACTAGCCAGAAGCATTGCAAGAGCTACCAATGCATCCCGAAAAAATCACTGTTTGGTGTGGATTATGGTCCGGTGGCATCATCGGGCCCAAAATGGAAGAGCTGGACTTGGCTGACATGTGGTTTCAACAAGACGGTGCCACATGCCACACCGCACACGAATCAATGGCCCTGTTGAGAGGCGAGTTCGGTGAAGAGGGATAAACCAGCATCGATTGACGCACTGGAAGCCAATATTGAAGCATTTATTCGTGAGATACCGGCCGATATGTTGGAGAGAGTGTGCCAAAATTGGACCTTGCGCATGGGCCATCTAAAGCGGAGCCGCGGCCAACATTAACATGAAATAATCTTTAAACATTAAATTATATCGACCGTTCTATCGACTCAAATAAAGTTTTAATCGTTTTTTCTAATTTTTTGTGTTTTTTCCTATATCCTATACCTCTCAAAAAATCACCCGTTACAAATAAGTGTTTGAAGAATAAACGTAACCCTTCGTTTTTCGCAAAAAAATAACAATTATCTTCTGGAATGGTTTGTGATTCATGTCGGAAAGGTAAACTAGTGTATTTTGCTATAAAATGCCCTTTGAATGAACCCTGCATATTGCTAGTTGTGATGGCCGGAAGACATGTGTTTTGGGATAAAGAATTAGAAATTTTTAAAAGCTGCTTGACCAATGAACTCCAGTTTTTTTGTGGTTATTTAGAAGTAAAAAGCCTTCGGATTTGAGGAATTTCAAGTAGTTGTGTGAAATTATCGTCACATTAGCAGCCGAAGTGCCGAAGCCTACATTTGGCCTCGCTTTTCGGCCATAACATTTTTACTATTAGTAGGATGTTTTTAGGTGAGGACTCATTCTGTAGTTCTCACCTTCAATTTAATCCCGAAACACACGTTTTCTCATTCTTTGTTGTCGAATAAAAAGTTTTCCCACAAAAATTGGTGTACCCATTTTATGCGTCCATGTTTCAAATACACCCTTGAACAACTTGCATCAATAAAACCAGACTCTACAATTATTTTGGGGAAATTTGCTAATATGACTAACATTCGAAATAACCATTTTTATAATTTCATCGTTTTAAGCATTGCAATTAAGTCTAATTTTGTACAAGGTTATCTCCTTCGTAAATTGATATTTTCCACAATATGCAGATTGCTTAAGTGCTCCATAAAACTTTTATCATAAGATAATCTCAGTTGGTCACAACGCAGAGTCATCGTGATATCTATAGTTAGCCCCATCTCCTGAAATCTTCTTCATTCTACAAGACCTGCTTTCATTTCAGAATGCGAAATTACGGAATGCAACAGATTCTGCCACAAGATAGGCCGCACAGTAGGGCTCTGCGTCTTTGGACAATGCGTATGCCAGTGACACCACCACGGCCCTTGTATATCGTCTTCTAAGCTTTGTTTATGTATTCTGATTACTATGCTAAGGTTCAAATACAGTACTCAATAATCAATTGGTTTTATTACACGTATTTTTAAGCATATTTGGCGCAAGTACAGTTACATAAGTTAGTAAGATCAATATTGGAATATGGTTTCCTTTATGAGAGTGTTAGTTTCAAATTCAAGCTAGTTAAGCATTTTTTTACCTTGTCGATTACCACACGAATGTGGTGTGGATACAGAGTATTTAATATCAAAATGCTTTGCTCTTATCCGTTCGAGCAAATGCAGCAGTTTCATGCTTTCCAGCCACCGTTCAGCATGTTCCAACCTCGAATTTCTCGGACAACGCAACATGGTATATTCAAAAATCCGTGAAGGTTGCCTAAAGAATTAGTGAAGATACGACTTTCTTCGATTAAGTATTGAAAAACTATTATTTGTTCAGCGAGTGATGTACTTAACAGTCAAATTATACAATGGTTTCGGGAAGGATCCCTCTCCTGTTCATTATCTGTACGGGACACGTCAGCAATCTGAAATCGACGCATTATTATTGATACATGGAAACTATGTTTTAAGATGAAGGTGGCAGTAGAAAATTTCAAGATGGCATCCAGCGGCTAACTTGTACAGTTTTTAAAATAGAAGGAGGTTTCATGCAATACCACATTTTGGAGGACTTACGAGCACCTGATAATATGCTGAGTGACAAAGAAAGGTATATTTATCTGATTTTAATAATGTTTGGCATATATGTTCAGTGTCCCTTACCATTAAAAATAAAGATGATGTATTAGTTTTATTTAAGCTTTAAATCAATAAATCTTCAAAACTACTGAACTATATTATTATAAAGGGAATTGAAAGACCTTTAAAATAAGGTATTACTCGACCCCTCTTTCCATTTAAGATTTTGGGGGTGGTGTCACCCCCGCTTAGGGGGCTGCACGTATTAACGTGATTTTTTGCCAAACTTGTGTCCCCTTCGAAAACAAAATCGACGGGTCTGAGCATTTTTCCAAAAAAAAAAACTGAGCTGCCAGTAAATGCGACTGTTTCGTTTTCGATGCGCCACCCTGTATAACGTTCTCAGACTGGTAGAAACATGAACGCGGTTTGGAGTTGTTCTCCTGACGGTACTTTTTTGAGACTGGCTTTTATTTTTGCTTACCATGGAAACGAAAAAGCAGATTTCGTATTATCCACATTACGATTCGTTTTCTGAATGTTTTTGTTTGAATAATGGAATTTTTAAATGTTCTAGAGAGTCATTGTACTTGTTTTCTAAGTTTGGTATGTCAGATCCTCTCCAGAGGACCTTGGGCACGGAGAGCACTAAACATTGATGTAGTTATTTTTAACGTACAAAATCGACCTTTTTCTTGGTCTAACAGCACTGACGTGATCTATATATACTACAGTGTAACTGATTCGAGCAGAGGGAAAGATGGGAGTTATAAATGAATATATCGCCCTACTGGTAGAACCGCCGTTGGTTGTAAATTATCATGTGTAGATCGTAGTGACAGACCAAAGATGAATGGACTACGCAATACTTGTTTATTGCGTTAAGGCACAAATCGCATTAAATATACTGAGTGACAGAAAAAGGTAAATACCTACGTATGTTTATCCGATCTTAATAATTTTTGGCATATATGTTCAGTGTCCCTTACCAGTAAAATGATTAAATTTTCAGCTTGATTCTTCAACTGACTGCAGAAGTTGGTACACTGATGCGTTGAGGATCCACGATTTCTTATACACTCATTGACACGCCTGGGCATCGTACTGAAAGGTGGGCGATATCCTGTTGGGGTATCTCATTCCAGGATACTGTAACTTTGTGAGTAAGAGTTGCTAAAGTCTGTGGAAGGTCTTGCAAAATCAAGAGCCTGCGACCTATCATGTCCCAGACATGTTCAATTGGAGATATTGGAGATAGGTCAGCCGATCGTGGTGGTCAAGGTAAACGGTTGATGCGATGTTGATCCATGAAGGCTAACGATACTCTGGCAACATGCGGTCTGGCATTGTCTTGCTGAAAAATCGGGTTTAGGTATGGAATAAGATGAGGCTCCACTACTTCCTGAATATAGCGTCGCTCTATCATATTGCTTCTGATGAGTATTAGTGGTGATCTGCTACCATAGGCAATAGCAGCCCAAACCATAACTCGCACGGTGTGGTGATCGTGACGCTCTCTGTCAAATTATGGGTAACGTCTTTCACCACGTCGCCTTCTCACTCTTGTCCGACCATCATGCATCTCCAGAAAGAAGCAGGATTCGTCTCTAAAGACCACCAGATTACATTACGCCGATGTTCAGCTGTGAGAGGTAGCACCCAATGTAGGCGATAAGAACAAAGGCCAAACGGTAGTATTCGGCAATATACCGTACGCACACCAACCATCTTTCCATGTTCTTCAAACCACTGATTAGCGATGGCTTGAGTACTACTGAATCTGTTTCTCAGCGTCAGAAGTCTTAACAGGCGGTCTTGTCGCTCTGTGGTCCCTTTGGGACGTCCAGAACCCCTCGTTCGCTTTCCTCGGTCTTTCTGAGTCCAAGCTCGTTCACACTGCAGTATACTCCGTAAGGATCTGTTGGTCCTCCTTGAAACTTCTCTTATCGTTAGATCGGCTTCACGCAACCCGACAATTTGACCCCTCTCAAAATCACTTAGCACTACGCACTCCAGGCATTTTGAGCAATCACAAAAGGCTTCTCAATAAGCTACACGAAATTTAACATTTAACGGACACAGTAAATGTACGAAAACTGAATGCTTCTTTATCACCAAACAATAATCGCAGCCACCACAAAAACTAAACAGAAAAGCCTGACCATTCTGAAAAGCTGGGATTATTATTAATGAGCTGACTAATGCTGGCAAAATTAAAAAAAAAGAAGGTAAGATCAATTAATCACAATAATCAGCAGCTGGACGCTCTCATAGATATAGCCTGTGTTTTTGATAAATATGTTGTTGATATAGGTGAGCAAATAACAAGTCAGATTGACCAAAACTCTATTCTTGATACACCAGATCTTCATGTCGTCAACATTGCTCACTCTATGTTTCTAGCTCCAGTGGATAACATAGAGTTACAGCAAATAGCTTGTAATCTGAAAAATAATAACGCACCCGGAAAAAATGGCTTACACACTAAAACTGTCAAGATGATCATGAAGTCACCCTATAACTCACATTATCAACCTCTGTTTCAAATCCTCAGTAATTCCTCGCCAATTCAAAGAAAGCATAGTGACACCCATATTTAAATCTGGAAGCAAAGACAATTCAATTATAGACCTATTTCCGTTATCAATGTATTGTAACTGTCAATTTGGGTTCCGCAAAACATGCAATACAGAGCAATCTCTACAAGAACTTACAGGACAAGGGCTTGATCTTCAAAACCCTTTCGATTCAGTATCTCATACAATTTTATTAAAGAAACTAGAAAGTGTTGGAGTGTGTAGTGGAGTTCTGAGCTTATTTGAGAACTATTTGGTTGATCGACAACAAGTTAAGGCAGGGTCAGATTCAAGCAGCATTCAAAATAGGTGTGCCTCAGGGGACGGTTTTGGGACCAACACTGTTCCTCATATACATAAATGAACGATGCAATTTCGACTGTAAAATGATATCATATGCGGACGATACTGTTTTAGTTTGCACTGGTCATTCATGGGATGACGCAATACGGAATGCCGAGTTGTCATTAAATAAAGTCAAGTGCTGGTTGGATACCAATTTACTTAAACTTAATATCTCTAAAACTAAGTATGCGACGTTTTCTCAAACAAAGCAGGCATGCCATTACATCACCGAACATTAATTATAATGATAGTGCTGACACTGTCGAAAGAGTTGAAGTTATTAGATACTTAGGAATCATTGTTGACAGTAATTTAAAATGACCGAGCTTTTGGCATCGAAATTAAGGAGAATTATTCATAAGTTTTCAATTCTTAGGAATATTTTAAGCAGATATATATAACTCGTTTGTGGGGTCTCTACTAACTTACGGGATAAGCATATTGGGAGCCGCATACGCTAGTACTTTAAAAATATTACAAACCACGCAAAATTACGAGTATATTGTCAGGACTATATTTCGTACCCCATGTAGGTCAAGTTACAGATTCGTTTACATTGAAAATGATCTTTTGAATTTTAGAGGTTTATATATTTTTGCTGCTCTGAGATTTGTTCACTCCAGAAACAATGTTCCAACCAGCCACGCTCATGAAACAAGAACTAAAATAAATATAAGTTATACTTATACCAGAGTGACTATATCTGTTTGCCAAAAATGCATGAAGTTACCCGTAGAACATAAAATCCTCTCGAAATATAGTTTCAAAAAAAGAATTAAGAAGTTCATCTTAAATAACTTTGACATGCTTGCATCGATTGTAGGTTGACTCAACTCAGTCATCTCGTTTCTATGTTTTTATTTCTTTTTTTGTATACATTTGCTCATAAACTTTATAACCATTAGCCATACATTGAATTTGTGTATTGTGTGACGCACACAAGCTTATAGCTTAGGTGTCTATTCTTTTGTAGGAAAAAATCCTAAAAAAATATGATGTTGCTCACAGCTAGGTAAGTCGATGTGCAAAAAATTCTTGAATTCTAATAAACATACGTAGGTGTTCACCTTTTTTGTCACTCAGTATACTGGAATATGAAATCGCTCAACCTAGAAACGGTTGGACTAGCAGGTTGTCGAAGTTGAGCATTTTTGAACATTGAGTTGCTTTTCACTCAGCAAAATATCGTTAAAACGCCACTTCCTTCTCTTGGAAGAATTTAGGCGAGTATGTAATAAAATATGAAGTATCATCTTTAAGAAAAATTGCCAGAATGTGTGTCAAATTCTTTGAACTGAATATCCCAACTTTTCTACTACACACTCAAGTAGACCTTTCCAAAATACGCAGATAGACATAACAATCTATAATGTTTTGGAGATTATCACGCTCATCTTTGACAGCTTGTCGTATTATAGAGTGGATCTTCAAAGTGTTACATCAATTTTCTTGTTCTCAAT